TCCTAGTTGAATGTCGACTTTTGAGTCCATTTGTTAGAAGTATAAACAAATCTTCTCATCTGACCATTATTTTACCACATTACAGCCTGATCATCATGTGGCATTTACGTTACCATTAAATATTTATTTAAGATTAATATGAAGGCAGAATGTTACACATCTGGATAGTCTTTGAATAAATTTTGATCAGTTTTTGAAGGAAAAATATTAAAAATTAAGTTGAGAGATTGAAAAAGATCAAAGTTAAATTATTATGATGATGAGTTTATGAATTGTTTCAATATTCCAAAAATTGAAATAGTTTCAAAGGTCTGGATCGTCTCCTTGATTAACCATTCTCTACTTTCATCGAACGTCAATTTCAGAATTTTTGAAAATCTATCAAAATGATAAAAAATCCAAAATTTCCAACCAATATTGCCTGTCACCACAAACAACATCCAATAAATATTCAACCTTCTGATAAAAATATCCCATTCCTCCTTCAAAAAGTCATTAAATTTTACAAACAATGCCAGACAAGTCATCAAATGCGATTAAGTTTCAATAAAAGACAATTTCACATCCATTATGAATTTTCTCACAAATCCTTACTCTTTATTGTCAGGCACACATTTTGATGACTTTCTAAAAGCACTTTAGGAATTTCTTTAAGCATATCGGCTTACAATGCGGTTTTGTCTTTTACTTATTAAAATTTTCAATATTTTCATCACTTTACGTCTTGTGTATTTATAGCACTTCTTTATGTGTCATATAAATTTACAATATTATGCATTCATATTATGACTTATTCTCACATACAGTAGATATTTTCATTTCTCTTATTTTCTGTAGTGCCTGTGTTATTAATGAGTGCTAGAAAATCTCTGAGGCTGAAAAACAGTTTAAGAGAAAATTAGAAATAATTTCACAGAAATCATTGGATAGAGAGTAGGTCATACACGCATCGGACGTGATGTAATGTGAGTTCATTTATTTTCAGGGATTTATATAGAAAATTTGAGGATTTACTTCATGCTTCATATTATTATTAGGCATATGTTGAGTATAGCAGGTGTGTGGATGTGAGAAAATTTAAACTATTTATAGGGATCAATTTTGACATCTAGCATTACAGATTTCTTAGACAATCTCTTAGGTTTGAGAAAATCTTATCCTATATTTGCTTTTATGTCCATGCTTTATACATTCTTAAATTCCATTTGATCCTCACAATCAATGTTGACATGTAGGAATTTTAAAATTCCTTAACACAGAGATTTTTTTGTTTAAAAGCAATCACAAACCATAACTCACAAAAGCATCAAATCTGACCTTCCAATTTGCTTGTTCTTAATCAATTTAAAAATTCGAAATTTTTTCCCTTTTGACAAAAAATCGCCTAAAGAAGGAATTGAATTAAAAATACAAAAAAAGGACCAAAAATGATTTATGCTTGTGTTAAAATTGGAAAATTTAAACTTTGGATGTTCACACAACCATAACATGATATGTCCTCAGGTATTTCCATTTTATCCTCTTCTTTTTATCAATGACTTTTTTTCTATTCAATCCCAGCAATTATTTAATTTGTGAAGATTGGACGAAATTCTTTTTTAGCAAGCATGACAAAGTTACAGATGATAGAAAAGGTCATTGCTTAATGTTTATGGATGTTTTTGAAAATAGAAATTGGAATTAAATTTTTATATACTTTTTTTGATGGATAAAAAGCAGAACTTTCAGACCTTTTGGTAGATTTTTTTTTTATAAGTTTACAACCTTTCTCCTTTAACAAACGCTCAATAATTCATCACAGAAAATCTCCAGTTTGAAATTTTATGTTTCATAACTTCCAGCAAAGTCCCTTTTACGCACTTAAGAATCCACATCTAAATTTGAAATAAATTTTCCTTAAATAAATTTCATATCAAAATTATTCTTTTGCCACTGATTTGATGTTCTTTTTTTATTCTACAGCATGTACAATATATTCGATAATTTTATCTCCTAGGATTCTTTTACGTAATGGAAGGGGAGGCTTAATAAAGTTGTCTTTTTATTGAAAAGATTGTCGTTTTTTGGACAATGACTTGATTTTAGGGGTTTGCAATGTTAATAAAATCGAGAGTTGTGGAAATTGTAAATTCATTTTATAGAAATATCCGAAATATTTTCAAAAATTTCAAGTTCTTCTACTTTAGTTTAACTTTATGGACAATAAAATTACATTCTACATTGACCAAAAGTTTAAGAAAATCTTCAAACAACCACAAAGTAATTCAAGTCTTCTACATTGTCCATTCCACCCAAGCATCTTCATACTTAAAAACCATTGGTAAATCCCCAAGAATCTTACAACAATACACAATCAAAAATTGATTATTAATTTTGTCCATCCAAGCAAATGAAACTAATTTAGCGTAAATCTCAATAGCTTTATTTTCATTTGATTCTTATGGATTATTCTCCATCTTTTGCATCTCCTTCAATATCTTAAAGGTCGTTAATAGCTTTTGAATAATCATGAATAGAGGATAATCAAGCTTTATTGTCCTTAACATCATTGAAATAACTTTTCTGCTTCCTTTAAGGAATATCATGAATAAAATTATCATTTTTAAATGCAATTTATTATTATTTATAATTTTGAGATTCTCTCTTATTCTTCTTCTGTTTTGTGCGTCCATAATTGAGAAGCAATTAATTTTCAAGTGAATTCTTCAAATATTAAAGACAGCTCATGTTTCTTACATGAAGTTCCTCCATAAGTAAACGACCCCCAAAGACGAATTCTGAACTTCCAACATCAACCAAAACAGCCATAAATTTCTTCCGAAACTGCACTCTCTTGACACCAAATGACAATTCCAACAAATATGATGAAATATTTCAAAAATTTCCGCATGACCTTCTTTCACATTAAATTCAATGACTCATAGCATCAGCAAAATAGTTTTGATACCAAAATGTTAATTAATGTTTCTATTATTAATATTTATTAGGCTCATTATGCTTAAAAGGTTATTGCTTGTTCTCAGTCACAGACAAGTAGTGTATTAAAGATTATGTTTGAGGATTAAATCAGATAAAGAGCTGCAATCGCTTTTTAATGGTTTGTTTGGATCAAGCAAATTTGAATCGTGTACAATTGTTGATGTTTTAATTATTAATGTAAAAGGGCAGGAAGGAGCTTCATCTGATGTAAGATTTGTGCTGATTTTGAATGATTTAATTTATTAAAAGAATTTGTTTCATTCAGAACAGAATGAAACCCACAGCATCAATAAAAACTTATATGTAAATAATTTGTCACAAAAAGGGATTAAAATACTTCTGTATGGGTGTAAAAATGTACTTAAAGCGTTTTAAATCCTTAAGTGTGACACTGTAGTGAAAATACTAACCTACATCAACTCTATCTTCCCACATTATGTATCATAAAATTGCTATACATAAGTGCTGAATTAAATATTAAAAGCTTTACGTGGAAACACTAAATGAAGAATGATTTTATTCAGCATGTAAGGCATTATCAACAGATGTGAACATGTCATGGAGTTTGATTTTAAAAAATTACATGATAAAATTAAGATGCAGTCAGAGATGACACTAGGGTAGAGTATTAGACATAATGCTCTCCCTGCTTGTCTATAGCCATAGTTTTGTCAATTTCAAAATAAAAGTAATGATACAGTAAGTTAAATAAAAAAGCTATGCGGCAAACATATAGCAATTTGCTTTAGTGCACTTAGCAATTTTTAAATTACATATTTCCCATAATCTCCTACATCTCCATCATGCAAAGCCTTGATAAAAAATTCAGTACCGAATTATCTTTCAATTTAAACTTTCTGGTAAAAAGATTTTTTTTTCACAAAACCAATTTGTGTAAAATGTCTACTCTAGCATCCCACAGAAAAATGACCAGATGTTGAATTGAAAATTGCTGTTAACAAACTATTGTTCTCGAAACATACAAAAAGATTTTTTTTTCTGTGTCATTCCTGATGTTTCAAATTATCATGCTCGAATCAATTGTCAATTCGTACGATGTAGGCTAAACTATGATGTAATACGTGTGTTATTATGTACATAGATGGATATATATGATAGTAATGTGATGAGGGTTTCAATGACAATGATAAGAACTCATTTTATTTAAGGTAAGCTGCTTAAAATACTCTTATCAAAAGTTGTGACAAAATTCTATCCGAATGAATAGGAGCTTACAATTTGTATGGATAGAATTTCCAATGAGGATTTGGTTTTGTCACAATTTTCATTAAAGTTTCTTTGACAGAACTTCATGCGGTTCTTGCAAGATGATTTGCGAAAATAATTTTAAAGTTCTACAATTGGAGATGACAATGTCATTTTTCAACAATATCTAGGAAAATTTCATTTCATGTTGAGGTAACATTGGTTGTCTAATGGAACTCATGAAACTTTTCTATCTATTCAACAGAAAATATCTGGTTTTCACAGCACGAAAATTTGTCTCAAATTTCAAATGAAAAACTTTTTTTTTATTCTTCATTTTTCATTTATAATGTTACAAAAGAAATTTGATTCAAAAATTATTTGTTTGTGGGTATAAGATGAATCTGTCTGTAAAATTCGTCGGAATCAAAGTAGAAACCTCATCAAGCATAAGAGATAGGTGTGCAAAAATGTAGAAAATTTTCTGAATTGACAAATAGAATTTCCAATAAAACATCATTCAAATTCTCAACATGAGTCCCTCATTCACCATAGATACGATTATTACTCAATCTAAAGGCAACAACACAATTCTAGTCCCTTTTTGTTCGTATCCAAACCACAAGAATTTTTTTTTCATTCACTTTCAATCACACAATTTATTTTCTTCATCCTCATAGCACAAAAAAAATCATCCAAATGTGTATGTATGTTCTATCAATCCCTAGATTCTCGAGAATATATTTCATCATCAACATGATGGAATGAGTTAAGGTCGACAGCTAGCTATAGAGAAAAATAAAATGATTTCTTACCTTTTTTTTTCTCGCTCAAAAACACACACTGACTAGTTGAGATTTTTTTTTTTGGTACTGTAATCTAATCTCGTATGGGCTCGACTTGTTCTCTAATAAATTACAAGCAGACTGTATGTTGTGGATGTCCTCTGTTGTCCCTTTTGGCGTGAATTTTTATTTTGAGGAGAGAGACACCGAAGAGGAAAATATTAAGCATGAACCATTCACGAGATTTTTTATTTTATTTTTTTTTTGACTATTTTTGTGTACAAAATTATTATTTTTTGTTCACACACACTCACAATATTCGCCCCGACTTGGCCTAATAAAACGGCGACGGGGCGGATGGGGTGGAAAAATTTTTGCGAAAGAAAAAATCTGTGGTAAATTATCTTAAAAACTTTTTTTTTTGGAACTAATCCGTTTAATGCTCTTTTATGTCACTTTCTTTACTATGGTCAGCATTTTCTAAGCTAAGAAATTTTCATTTTCTTCTCATTTAATTTTATTTTATTTTATCTTGCCGCACAGCAACACTCTAGCTTTATTTTTATCACTCGCAGGGATTTTCTTTTATTTCAACATATTTTTTTTTTGCATAAATTTTCACATAATCTCGATGAATATTTTTTTTTCTCAATTAAATTTCATGATCAACATTGTCACAATTGTCATATTTTCCTACTGAAATTACACAGCACTTCGTCGTCGAATACTTTTTTTTCTAAAAAAAAAAACACAAAAAAAATTAAATTCACTTTTGTCTTCTCTTAAGGATGTCCTTTTATCTAATATTTTTATGTACCCGGGGTAAGAGGAAAGCTTTTTTTTCGAAACTGAACTGATTACAAACGCAGACAACACCTGACTAAAAATCGATTTGGCCTGGATGCTGTTGGACTTTTTTTCCTTTCTCTGTTTTCCAATTTTCGACGACTCTTTCCTATCCAACTCTCGCACACATACACACACAGATACAGAATCTGAGTTGATATATTTTTTTTATATTCGCAAATTGGAATTTTTTGAGAGATTTGTGAGAGAGAAAATGAATTGTGTGAGACCTTCGGTTCCTCTTTTATTTGTTGTTGCTTTCCGCTTCTTCCTACTTTTTTTTCTTTTTTCTAAGAAAGGAGCTTAAGGATGGTGCTGTCTTGTTTTCTTATTTAACCTTCTTTCTTCCTTATTTTGTCACTTCTTTCCATTAATTATTGTTCCTTTATAAACTTATCTATAACTTTAACTAATTTCCATTCAGCTTCATTCACATAATTTGAAGTAATTTCTGTGTATTTTGAAAAAAGGCTATCCGCGCTTCCTCTACGATCGGTCTGAATTGGACGACAGCATCCGAAAAACTGAGATGGGATTTCGTTGGAAAATCTTTTTTTGGGTGCAACTTCCAATATTTTCTTCTGTGTACAATTTTCTTCTTTTTCAGTCATACTAGACACATACCTGTAAGGCGTTCCAATACAAATACATTGAAATGTTATACTTTCAAGTGTATTGGAACTGGAAGACACTTCATGTTGATACACGTAAGAGAGCTTTTTTGATCTATGTGTTTTACGAATGCACATAAATCAATGTCGCATTCACATGTGACTCATTGGAATTGGCGCAAACGAAACACTACGCATGCTCTATAGACGAACTTTCTTCCTCTTATTCCAGTCCTATGTTTTCTTTGTGCTTTCAACAACATAACAACGAAGGATTAAAAATTGGAAATTCAGAGCTTTCACAGATTTTTTTTTTCACCTTCTTCTTACTTCCTTTAATTTTTTTTTTCAATCCTTGTTGAGAGAAAATCTTCTCTAATAAATATAGAAGAAGAGAAAGAAGATGAAAATGAAAATGTGTGTGAGCGAGAGGTGGTGGAAATTCATTATTTTTATGCCTCGTCAACAACTGGCTGATGTGATATTTTGTAGTTGTTTTTATCACAGAGGAAAAACGGATGCGAGACAGGGGATGGAGAAGAAAAATTACGTGTATATGTATGTGCAATGAGGAAGTAAGTATTTACCATAGCTATGCATAGAAATCAAAGCATGTTTACAACCATTTTTTTCTTCGATTTCTCTCTCACTCAATTTCTATTCCTATCATTTTATTTCTCTCCATCATTTTTTTATTCAATATTATTATTCTGTTATTGCTACAGCTCGGTATGTACTTGTGTGCATACTGTAGACATGGAAAAAAAGTGTGTATGAGTATGTAAACATGATGATTTGTAATTGCTTTGCTGAATAGGTGCCATAATGTATATTTTATGGAATGAGATTTTATTTCTGTTTTGATGTGTTCAGCTATACGATTGGTGTGAGTCCATGAAATTATAGAATTATGCAGGAACCTATAAAGTTCTACGGATTAGTTTTCACCAGAGCTCGAAGTCGATAGGGTTTTAGTCGATTCGAGTCGACTCAACTTTTCTCATTTCTCTTTTCTCAAGTCAACTCGGAATTGACTCGGAAAAAATTGGCTTGACTCGAGTCAACTCTTCGAGCTCTGGTTTTCACAATAAAAATCTAGTAAAAGGAGATACTATAACCTACAAATTCTTTAACCAGTTTATTTTTAAGCTCTTTGCAGCAGCTTCTTCCAAGAATCTCACATTTTCTCTTTGTGATGATAACAAATCGAATGAGTTCCAAGGAAAATTCATCAATAAGATTAAGCAACATCATTTCATTGCATTACGTGTAACAACATCTGATTCTGGGAGATTAATTTATTTCAATGAGCATGTTCTTGCGTCTGATTTATATTAAATTTACTGATCAAATGGTTGAGTGGGATTTTAGAGAATCTGGACTTTATTAAAATTGATATTTCTTCTAGAGTTTAAATTTTTCAAAATCTCAAGCATATAATCGAATAAAAACATCATATATAGCAACAACAACAAAAAATACTCGAAATTTTCAGAAATCGAAAAAAATGATATGACAAGACAATTCCAAGAACCTGATTGATATTGAGATTACCATGACGACTGAAACGTCAACAAACATAAAAAAGTAATCTCATTTGTGTGTAATGTGTCTCATCTACAAAAATAGATTACAGACGTATGAAAAACTGTAGAAAAGAAGTTTTTTAAGACACGATGAAGAGAAAATTTTATTTCATTTCTTTCGTACACTCGCTAGTGAATCGTCAAAGGCATGTGTGTATAAAAAAGCATCAAAAACAGCACAATAAATTTTATGTTGTCCTTATTATTGATGATACATCAACAAATTAAATTGAAAAGATGCAGAAAGTTTCGGTTAAGCATAACAAACAAGAAAAAAATGAAAATTGCTGTCGTTACGCTTCTTGCTACATTATTACATTGTTGTGTTAACGAAAAGTTTGTAAATTAAGATGAATGTTTTTTTCGTGCTTGTTATACCTTTGCGTTGAGTTAGAGGTTCTCAAGTCTCTTGAGAAAATTGATACAATTGAAATTTGATAATGCGCTCATTAGGGACTGAATGACATGTGATTTCAATTACATTGTAAAGATCATGAAAATGATGTTTGTTCTGTATTTCCTAGGAAATAATCATTAATGTTTTGTTTTCCTGTTATTGGATCTGATGTTAAAAATCTATGAATACAAAGAATTTATGATGATCAAAAAACTCAATCGGTTCCTTTAAAAAGCAATCTTTAAATTTTTTTGATAACTTCTTCCATAATGAAACTTAAAAATGTCTGAAATTAAAACCTAATCCTCGAAATCTAATTTATATATAGTCGTTTGATTTTAAAACTTTTTGGCCACGCCTCATCTCAAACATCAAAGCATAAAACTCAGAAGCCCTACACAAAAACCTAAATAATTATGAATGAGCTTCTTTTTTTCCAATTAAAAATTGTTTTTTGCAATTTAAAAGTCAAATACTCAAAGGAAGAAAAAACAGAAATAAGAAGAAGACTTCAAATGAGAAGAAAACTTTTATATTTTAAATGAATTTAATTTAAAGAAAGGAAAAGCAAAACAAGAAATTTCTTTAATTCAGCAATTGAATTGAAAATTAATTTGAGAGAAGAAGTTTGTGAGGAATTCCGTGAATGCTACTTACTTTCTCGTAGACTCTTTCTTTAAGCTCCTTTAAATATTAATGGATTTTATACAAGAAAGGAATAAACGTTAATGAGCTTCAACATTAATGTTAATGAAATTAATTAAAAATTTCATTAAAATATTCGTTTCCTTACTTCCTTTAACTTTTACTTTTGTGAGTTTTTTCAATGCTACGATACGCTAAAGTTCTTGATATTAAGAATGGAAATGAATTTGATCATTAGTATTGGGATGGGTGGTAATCAATATGGAATAGCTAATGATTGGGTAAAATAACTGTGGATGAGAAGGTTCGTTGGTGTTTTAAAGTCAAGTACCAGGAGTAGGAAGGTTATTTGTTGGCATGTCAATTTTAATCTTTATTCTAGAAAACACTTGTATATTAGGCAATATATTAAGTTTACTTTAAACATTCCCAAGCTTAAACATTTTTAATAAAATTTAAGATTAATCACACCAAAACTCAATCTAACCTTTCAATGTCAAATCCCTACTGTAATTTCAAATCGCAAAGGTCAGCCTGAGTGTTTTTGTGAGAAAACTTATCAAATATCTAAAAGCATCCATCAGTTCCACAATTTTCCCTCTGCAGGATATCAATATAAAAACAGAATCAAAATAAATCAATTCTAAGAAAGGTTTTTCATCCTTTCGTAAGAAACCTTGAAGACATCTGCATGTGGGTGTTGTTAAAGACAGAATTTTTAAAATTAAACCAAATGAAGTATGTAGATCTGGCAAGTGGTTCGGATCCAACTATAAACTGTAGGTCTAAAGGGTATGGTATAATAGATTCATTACAAATTGAATCGCAGTTCCTCGAGCTGAAAAGCTGGGCCATACACGCATTATTATTATGTAGATTGATGTAGATCTTAAAACAAAATATGTTGAATTCGTGAATTATCAGCAATAGTAACATGTTGAAGCAAGGTTGAAATTTTTTCTACTTTTTTCCTGTAACTTTAAATATTACCCAACTTTAATATTAATTCCAATAGCCCAATTTATACCATAGAATTAGTTGTGCCATAGAAATCACGACTTGATAGTTAACAAAAGTCCTTTAAACTTAATAGCTGTCGTTGCTATATTTTGAATTTTCATTTCCATCTCGTTGCTATGAGATGCTATACATGAGGATTTATGTTGAAATTGTGCAATCTGTAATGTAAATAAGCTAATAGCCAGTACTTTATAAAACCCAAACTTCAACGAAAAAATTAATTTTCGATTAATATTAAACTTTTCAGCATCAACTTTACAAATTAGTTTTTAGAGTAATTAGCGGTCTTTATTATTTTTTTATGTTCTTGATGAAAATTAGAAGTCTTTTTTCATCCAATAGCAACCAGTCGAATCCCTAAAAGTTCAACAACTTTTACTTACGATAGCAATTAAAAAATTTTGTCACATCATTCTGATAAGGAATAGTAAGTATCATGATTCAAAATCGGGTAATAAAAATATTCCACGCGAACTGATAAAGTCTGAGAGTTGGTAAACAGCTGAGCACTTGTAATGTATTTATTTTATTATGATAAGAACTCGCACATGTTATGTCATAATAAGATGATTTTATTCAATTCAGTTTATTCATTTGATAGATTCTAGGGGCTTTTTATGCTAATAAATTGATACAAAAGCATTCTAATGTTTGCTCATATTATTGTGTTTCAAAACATTATAGGAACTCAAGGTCATTTAATAATAAATTTGGTTTGGACTTAAAATAATAGAGGATGGAAAATTGACAGTTAAGAATCTGCTTTCAAAACCATAATTTTAAAAAACTTTGTACCGGTTGAATTGTTTCTAAAATCGAACCTTGTGTCAATGTCCTTGATTTCTTCATAGCTGAAAAGATAAAGATATATAATAAATTCAAAGCTAGTGTCAAATCCAATGCCTACCTTTTCACATAAAAATCCTCATATCCAGCTTTCTTAGCAGCAACTTGCGATCCAATTGCTGTAAATGCAGTTCCAGTAATACTAAGGCCCATTTTTTTTAAGTATGGAATCCTAGCTTTGAGCATTTCTGTTGCAATTCCCTGACCTCGATATTTGCGATTTACACAAAGTCCATAAGCTGCGAGATATTGATCAATATCATAGGAAGTGAAGATATCAGACACTTTTGATGTGTACTCAAGAAATTCGAAAACAGTTTGAACTTTTTCACTATCGTACTAGAAAAATTCACAAAATGTCAAATGTTCTTAATTTGCCATTATCTAGATTTACTTTAACATCCTCTTTTGGATCATCCTTCCCGTGAACATCAAAACAATTGACAGAAATTAGTTCATCATCAACGCCGTCATTTCTAAAGCAGGCAATTGAGAGATGCTTTTTCATGCATTCGATCCAAAAGTCTAATAACACTTTTGTAGCATGTGGATCATCTGGAACTCCTTTTGAGGAGCATAAAGACTCATCGGGAAGAAAATGAGTTCTCATTAATTCTAGTGCTTCTTCAAAACGATCATCTGGCAGGTCTTGGACTCGATATTCTATAACTTCATCACTTTCTTTTGATTTGACCTTAAATGTGTAGTAAATTGTTGGAAATTCAAGAAGTTCTGGCCTCTTAAACGGCATTTCTTATTTCTTTTTCAATTCAATAAACAGCAAAGAAAAATCAAGACAGCTGTAACCGAGTTTACAATCGCAACTAAAATGATGATAGAAAAATCTAAACGATAAGTAGTGAAGCATCGAATACTGTGGACACTTGAAAAAGCATTCCTTAAAATGATGATGTAAGAATCACATTTTTTTATAAAACAGACAAAGTGAGAATACTGAACTCAAAATTTCGAATATTAATTAATATCGAATATTATTAATTTCGTTGTGGCTCGGGTTACTTATCAATTTTAACTCTCAATTACTCAATTTTAATGTATGAGTATTTTTATATTCTCATAATTCATCAAGGGGCCGTTCACTTATTACGTTCGCATTTTAGGGGGGAGGGGGGTTTGAAAATTTGGGGTTTGAACATTTTTTCAAATTTTCCACCTTTTTAATGATAAAATAAATTATGAACGTTCAGGGGGGGGGGGGTTGTAAGTTGTATTATATTGGAACAAGGGGGGAGGGGGGTGAAAAAAGTAGTTTTTTTGCGTAACGTAATAAGTGAACGACCCCCAAGATGTACTGAGTTTATGCTTTAAAAAGAGAATAAAATGATTATATCATATGCTCTATATAGTTTATTGGCAACGATACTTTAAAATTAAGAAGATAACCTTTGATTCTTTCATTAAATTTCTCGGTAATAGAAAAGGTGAACTCAAATGCTGCAGCTGACTGTTTTTAGGTTTTTTATACTGGGGGTCCTCAATTTGAGTAGGTGTTTTGTTCAAGAAAAATCCTATTCAAATCGAATCTACTCAAATCGAGGACCCATAGTATCACAGTTTTATATGCAGTAATGAAGCACATGATTCCTTCGATATATCTAAAATCAATTATCATTTTCTCATCATTTTAGGTCCACGAATACATTCAATAATTTAAAATTAAATGAATACATCAGTTAAAAAATAAGTCTTACTATTAGCAACGAGTTGCAGTTTTTAAAAAATATTGCATTCAAAGCTCTGTTACTATAGCAAATTCAAATTAAATTAATGCAGCGACAACATAAAGCATTGATGCAATATTTTTATATAGTACACAAATTAAATAAATTAACTCTGTTATTGCAGTACTTGATGTGGTTTATTGTATGTCAAAGCATTTTAAGTTTTCTACTTTCCACAATGGTTTGAATTTTCTGATTTTATGGCAGTTCTCAAAAATCCATAAATGTTGTACTTTAATGTAAAATTACATGTTCTGATACCATTTTATTTTAATTAAGTGATTCTTATACAATCTTCAATTCCTGCTGCAATAATAATTGCTTTTTGAGATTTCATTTGTAAAATATTACATCATAAAATAAACTAGGTCTTTGATGACTCTCTAAAGTTCTTTAAATCCCTTAAAAATCCAAATTCAATATTTTTTTCATCTTCAAAAAATGTTTTTAAAAGCTTTCAAAAAGCTCAAATGCATCGTTGATTTATAATTTTTCAGCATCTGCCATTCACTTGAAGCCAACAATATATCCGTTATTAGTCAAAATATTCCCAATACTCTCTACAATTCACTGAGTATCGAGACACATAAAAAATGAATTTTTCATATTGACTTGCATTTTTCCTATGTTGAATGCATGACACAATGCACATACATGAAGAGGCAGGAAAGAGATGAGAAAAAAAAGATTTCTTCTAGTTTTTTTTTGCATGCTCATGTCACATACAGAATAAATGGATTGAATACTAACTAACGTAGATATAAATCGACCACAATCACATCTCACATTGAGTTAATGCCAACTGGCACAAAGAGAACTTTTTTAAGCTTTTCTTTTCGTGTCAGAAATTTCATCTTCCTTTATTTTATTAAAATTGGTTTTAAATTCAAAATATTAAAAGTGTGAATGCATTTTGGTACCAAGGCGTAGATTCTAGGGTATTTTGAGAATGACTTAGCCTTTCCTCCAGCATTCTTATAATATAATATGTAGCAGAAATTCCAAGGAAAAGCTTCATTCTTTAATTATCATTAAAAGTCAATGACCCCGAGCAAAAATCTAAAAAACAACGCCCAAGCCAAGTGCTACTCAGCTAAGCTACCTTGCACTCTATTGTCATAAGAGTTTTTCATTCTCCTTTCATGTGTATTCTCTCACCGAATTTCAAATTTGCTTTCGTACCCTCTCAACACTTGTCTCCTGCACACAGATTTCATTCCGTTCTACTTTTTTCTTTCATTTTAAAATTAGAAAAGAAGGAAAATCAAAGCAAAAAAGAGGATGAGGAATGAAAACTCAAATTCTTCTTGTGTATCATCGTATACAATGTCTATAGATCTAGGTAAATATGAATCAATGGATAACATAAAGAAAGTCATGAGATATTAAATAGATGTCGGTGGAAATGATCTCGAGTTGCAGCAAAATGAGATTTTTAACTCAAGTCCATTCGATTTTACAGAAAATGAAAAAAAGAAGCCATCACTTTCTTGAATCTCCTCATCAGTACAGTAAATAAGACGAAGAAATGAATCATAAAGTGAATTGAACTTTTCCGTAGCTAATTCATTAGAACTAATGAAAGATTTTTTCTTTGAAATTAAGTTCGTTTCTTCTTTTAATTTCCACATCCGTACATCCATATTTGGATCAGTTTAGTCACAATTAAGTGAGATTTTTAAATAAGAATGAAATGATTTGATTGCTCAGCATGTCTCATTCTCTAATTATGTGAATTTTCTTTATCTTACTTACTTGCTATGCTTCATCTCATTGCCTTTTCTCTTATTACGTTACTAATTTACCAAAGTGCTGAGTCTTTTTGATAAGACCTGACTTTTCTGGTATTAGTCTGCGGTTTGTCTCATTTGGATATTGTCTTTTAAGTAAACTTCTGGATAATCCAAATTAAAATCAGCAGGATCTACATTTAAAGCATAAACAAACAAAATTCTAGCAATGCAATTAAGAATAAAGCAATCAGAAGCACTTCATTTTAATCATCAATCACAGCCTTCACAACTTGTTTCTTGATTTCTTTTTCAATCCTTCTTCTTCCTTCACATTCATTCTTTTTCGTATGAAATGAACTACTCAACTGCTCGTAATTGGCTTCATCATGTGCGCTTTCATAGATGAAATGGAAGAAAGAGAATCTCACACAGAAATTCCTACAATCTTTTATCATTAACGAAAATTACTATCATTTCTTGGTTTGCTGCTGAAGCAATCATTTTGTCTTTTAATTTAACTGAAGCAAAAAAAGGAAATTGTTGAGGTATGAGGTGAGGGAAAATTGCAGCAAGTACACACATTGAAGAACGTGGAACGAGCTTTTTGCCATTATTGAAATCCATTTTTAATTGATCTATCTTCTTCTTATTTTACTCATTTTTGTGTTAATATAACGTTCTTATTTCTTCGGAGATTCTGAAGCTTAATAATCTTCTCTTGTTGTGATTGCTTTGCTTGTTTACAGCAATTGTGAATTGCTGCGGAAACGATTAGCTTTAACTGTTGAAGTTTCTTTTATTTTCTTGCTGACCTAAAGCAATAAACAGCTGTATTATTTTTGGTATTAAGGAGTTGAGTCAAATTTTAAATTCTCATAGGTTTCATCACTTTTGCCTGTTCCTTTGAAAAAGTCATCAAAAACAAAATCTTCTTTCATGCTTCTATAAAATTTCACTTTGTGTTGATTTACATTGTTTGTTTATTCTATTTTTTCATTCCTATCTTTTCCCATCCATCGAGGTTAATGGCGTAAATTTTTCCTTTCAAAAACACTTTACTATCTCAAAGATTTACGATTTCAAATGAAAGGCATTAGGTAATTTAAAATAATTAAAATTTGATTAAAATTCATTTTTCGCAATTGAGCTTAGAAAAGTTTTTGTAGCTTTTATGAAAAGAATGAAAAGTTGGATGTTGAGAATTTGTCTTGATGTTTTTGCGGATAAAATGAAATTTTAATTTATTTCAGAAGAAAAGCCATTGATGAAAAAAAATCTGCTTCTTAGAAGGTTGTCGCTCTTTATGAATGAATGAATGAATGAAATGAGACAACAAATTTTTTTTTGGTAAGAAAAAGTTCGTTAATTGCTATCATTAGACAGTCTGGCTTAGTCTCTTAAATATTTAATTCTCATTTAAATTTTATAAACTTTTATTACTGCAGATTTTGATGCTTTATGGCAGTGTTGTCCAAACTGTGTGTCGCGGCACACTGGTGTGCTGTAGAATTTTTTTGGAAATGACACGAGCTGCATGCTGTTTGCGACTTTGGTCATGACTTAACCCTAAGGTGTGCTGTGGCTCAAAAAGTTTGGGCAACACTGCTTTATGGGATCCAAGTCATGGTTTGTATTTAAGGTTTGACAAAAATTTTATGTACCTTAGGAACTGCTCTCCTATTATGTTCTTCCCATTTAAAAAAACCTTTATCTATTCATATCAATTGCGATCCAGAGGTGCGCTAAGGCGTTTCGCAGCTAATGTGAGTTTAACGAGTGAGAATGCGCCAAATCACTGCACTCACACCTAGACCTACAGTTTAATAAAGGGATCTAAACTACTGTTCTGATGACACTTCTGCCTATAGCCTACAAAGTAAGACTGTGAGCCTCATTTCCAGTTTATATGATTCGAAAAAGGACAAGTGAAAATTTTCACATGCCGAGTCTCGAACCCATGATCGCTGTGTCAGTAGTGCACTAGTTAAGTACCGAAGTACTAAGCCATTCCACCACCAAGCCACTTCAGCTGACTCTTTCCATTTACTCGCCTTAAATCAGGATCATAATAAGTAAATGGCCACAAAAGAAAAGAAAAAAAAAGATCGCAATTCCAAAGATTAAGACAAGAATTTTTCATCTGTAAATACTTAAAGCAAACGAACTAAGAAAAGAAATATGCTGTAATGAATAAATTTTTATAGCAAGACTTCATAAAGATACTTTTAAAACAATTTAAAAAGGAAACATGAAGCTATATTCTTCTTATTAAAGAA